CATTCGTATTTATAGAGTGACGAATTGAATAAGTCAGTGCAAGGTAGCGAAGCTCTGAGACTGCGACTCTCAGGTTTTTACAAGTTCAAAATGTATTGCGACCACAAAGAGAATACCAAGATCCTACAACTTACACAATTTTATAAACATATATAATAATTTTTTTACTTCATAGGTACTTTTATAAATAATGTATATGTTTTGATATTATAAGATAGTATGATGTAAGTAAATAGGTACTATCAGTGTATGTGTTGAGATCCACTATTGTGGACCCCCATTTTCATTTCATGGTTTGATATAGACCACTTTGGGAATCACTGGCGCGTAGAGTAAATTCGCAGGGTAATACAAATTACATATGAATTTGGCGTTGTGTACGAGAGGAATAGAAAGTTTTTTTTTTGTAAAATATATATAATTAATCAAAGTATGCACCGTTCTTATCTATGCACTTTTGCCATCTTATAGTTAGTTCATTGTTCCCTTTACTAAAAAAAAACATGGGCGAGAATCAATAAACTCTTTGAAAGCGGTTTGGACTGCCGCATCGGAGTTGAATTTTTTTTCCTTGCAAGAAGTTGTCCAAATTCCGGAAAAAATGGTAATCTGTTGCTGTACTCCGGGAAGTACGGTGGATGCAGACATTCCAATTGTAGGTCATCGAACTTAGTGTTTGTTTGTTATGCAGTCTTGCGTTGTCGTGAAGCAGCAGTGACGTAGAGCGATTGACCAATCTCGGTTGTTTAGCAGCTATTTCTTCCTTCATGGTTTGCAGTTGCTGACAATAGATATCTGCTATAATCGTTTGGCAAGATTTTAGAAAGCTGTAGTGAACGACACCGGCACTAGTCTACCAAACAATCACAAGTAACTTTTTCTGAGTAAATTTTCGTTTAGCTGGCTTTCGATTGGGCTGGGTCTCCAGGGTTCAGCCATTGTAACAACCGCTTCCGATTATCGTACAGTATCCACTTTTTATCATAAGTAATGATTCGATTTAAAATCCCTTCATTAATGTGTCAGTTAAGCAAAGTAACACAGCAGTCGACCCGTGTTTGCAAGTTCGATTCACTCAATTCATGAGGTACGCATCGTTCAAGTCTGAAGTGGTTGTGTGTGTGGTTGAGTGTGGTTTTAATGGATCCGCTTCCACAATAGCCTTTAATTCTTCATTTTCTACCGGTGGCCTCCGGCCGTCCACGGGATTGGTTCTGAAGATCGAAATTTCCAGAACGAAAACGTTGAAACCAAAATCGTACCGTGCTTTCTTTTGCGACACCAACGCCGTACATATCATTAATCCTTCGAGATGTTTCTGCAACAGCAGCAGCACTGTTGCTACGGTAGAACTCGTACTCGTAAATATACCGATATTTCATGTTTTCCATTATGCGGTATGGAATGAATTTATAAATTTGAATTTGAAAGTCTTAACCAAAGAGGAGATATTTCAGATCAAAGTGGTCAGTATGACAAAACGCTAATTTCATATGTAGAGACCTCAATAAATTCATATTACATATCAAATTTCATATGTAATATTAGGAAAAGCATCCTGCAAATCATGCGCATATCTGTTGCAATAGATAGACAGCGCCTCGCGAATAATAATGTTCGTGCTGCAAATCATGCGCATAGTTAGGGAAAAGCTGAGGAAATTATGAGTTGTCCATTCGTCTGTAAAATGTGAATTTGCCGCCCTCTGAACGAAGCATGGGCCCCGGCTTGCCCCCCCTAGCTGGGCAAAATATATGCAGCTAAACAGGCATTCGACCGATACCGATCAGAATCGATCCACAGGACGCCTTACTGGAAGATCTCGAGTTATCGCACACCGCCTATTGGTGGTTGACCCAAAGTATGAAGGCAAGAAGCCCTGTTAGAGCCAGTTAGAGCCCTGCGAATCCCTACCGCCATTAGTTATACCTAATAGCGCTTCACTAGCCCTAAATGACTCCCAAAAAGCGGAATGCTTTGCAGACAACCTAGAGGAGCAATGTACGCCCTTGCGCGAACACATCGATACAGCTTACCTCACGGAGGTGAATCTAGAGCTGCGCTACCACCAGTAGGCGAACATTTAAGCTCAATGATCCCCGAAGAGGTCCAAGATATTATTTTATTTTTATTTATTTAGTATTTAAGAGAGTGATTTTATGCTCAGATCAGAGATACTTGGCCTGGCACCGACTACAAAAATTGTTAAATTTTGTTACAGGTTACATAGGTTAGGTTATTTATATAGGTTAGATTTTCAAGATTTAATTTTATTAGATTTAATGTTAATATAAACTTTTTAGTACTAACCTTTTTTGAAGTCTGTTCTTTTTTGTTAAAAACCTTTATATTTTTATTATTTTTGAAAGAAAGAAAGAAAGAAAAATATTTAGTATTTGGTACATAAACATAAAAACACATAAACACAGTAATTTTGCTACAAAAAGAAAAAATAATTTTAATTGCTTATTAGTGCACCACTCAGAGTAATAATAAAAAAAAAAAACTTCATGGGAGGACAATGATAGCAGTGTCATTAGCATAACATATAAGTTCTGCATTTTGTAGAGGCAGTTGCAGTATGTTGTTGATGTACAGAATAAAGAGTGTGTGAATAAAGAGTATGCTGCTCTACACTGGAGTAACCACTAACTTTTACTCTTCTATGTGACAAATAACTTCTAAACCAGTCCAGCGGGATGCCTCTTACGCCGGATGCCTCAAGTTTGCGAAGGAGAAGGTCTTTAGATACGATATCGAACGCCTTGGCAAAATCCAAAAATATGCCTAGACAGTGCCCCCCTTTATCCAAGAATGAATATATGTAGTTTGCCAAAAGTACCGCGGCGTCTTCTGTGCATTTATTCTTCCTGAATCCATATTGCCTATCCGAAATCAGCTTGTGAAGTTCTAGGAACTTAGATAGGCGGCTATTTACCGTCTTAAACTGTCTTGTGTTAAATTAGGACAGTAACCATAAAAAGGGAAGTCTTTCGATTTTACTGATGAGAAGTGTATTTGAATAATCCGCTTTCGAGAAATTTAAATAACACGATCTAGTGGATTTAACTCTTTTATCGGTTTGTTCTATCTTTACGAGAGAGGTAGTGCTTGTTTTTACAGAAAACATATTGCTAGTGTTAGTAATAAGTCGAGTGTACTTCTATTTATATTGCATATTGGATTGATCTGGAGTAGATTATTAAAGGAAAGTGTATCAACAAATATACTTTCCGCAGGCGTCTGTACGTTACTTGACGTTTGTGTCTGGATGCCAACCCAAGTTCAGCAGATTTTTTGTTGATGTACCATGTCTGATTTTAACAGTTACTCAGATATCTTCATCTTCATTGTTTCCCACTTCGCCTTGCGATTAGGTAAATGTTTTTGTAAGATTGCTACAAGGACTTCTCCACCTTCTTGTATCGGGGACGGTGCAGTTGTCGAGAAGTACATTAAATATTACTACTAGTAAGCCAATAAGGTGGGCAGAGAGTAATTTAATTACCGTACTCTATTGGAGATTGCGTCCGGGCCGGGCGCGGAGCGTTTTTTTAGGTTCTTGACGATGGTCATGACCTCATCGACCGAAGTATGTTCGTGGGGTGAGTCCGTAGATCCGCGGCTCCACGCCTCGGAGCTACGGTCTACTTTCCACTTCCCCGTCCACCTTAGGTTAAAGCATTTAAGCTCGAAGTTGTCTGCAAGGCATTCGGCCTTTTCGTCGTCTTCCTACGCCTTGCTACCATCGGGTAGGGTCAGAGGAGACATTTTATTTAAAACATAGCACTTACTTTAGGATAACATTATCCTGTGTTGTAAGCACGTTTTACAAACATAAATTTCACGTGGACAAAAACCGAAGATGCAAAACATCTATCTGTGGGCCACACAAATAGTTTTCCCGTGTGGGGATCGAACCCACGACCTCCGACACCGAGGCCAATACATTGGCAACTGCGCCACGGAGTCTTCAAATTCACATTGAGGACACGTTTTTTGATTTGAAATTTCTCGTCAGCAGCCAGATGGCAGTGTGCGATGGCGAGGTATCCTCCGTCAGTGTGTCCTATCGCCCCTAATCTCCTGCATGAGCTCTTTAACCTCTATTTGGAGGCGGCGCTTGGCCCGACGACAATTTGGATGTGGGATGTGAGATAGGAGATCGCCTTAATATCTAATGTCTTAATAATCGCCGGTCTTGGGTAATTCTATCCTATCCGGGATTTTATCTAGGTAAGGTTAACTCGTCCTTTCGAGTTCCTTATATAATTTATCCCAGTCAGTCACGAACTTAGTCGTAGTGACTGTTGTGCTTGGCTAGCTTAGTTATAGCTTGACCGAGCATTGGTCAGAGTTTATGTTTCGGAAAGTTTTTTTTTATAGGAGAAGTTGCCAAGCTAGCAGACGGTTCACCTGATGTTAAGTGAATACCGCCGCCGATGGACATCTGCTACACCCGAGGGTTAAAGATGCGTTGACAACCTTTTGAAAATTGGGCTTAAATTTAAAAGTACTAACGTTGCCCTTACTGGCTTTCACAATTTGTGATACGCGGATCGCGCATGCTTTTTTAATTTTTTTTTTAATTCAAAAACTGGCTTGACTGCCATCCCACCTGATAGTAAGTGGCGATGCAGCCGTTGATGGTAAGCGCGCTACCTCAGTAGAAACCTATTCACTCTTGCCTTGGTTTGAGACATGTCTCTTGCACTATGTCTACCTGATGGGGAGTTAGAAACTCGGTAATTTCATCCCTACGATTACTATTCAGGGAGTTGCGTTGAGAAACACGATGGACAACGATTGGGGCTTCACCCTATCGCGGTTGAATTTAATCTCCATATTGTTACCGCGGTTAAGATTATTAATGCAGGCCATTATTGCGCCCTTTTTAGAGCTTCGACTATTGCTGCGTGTTCGGCTAGGGCACTTATACGTTCCTGGACATTTCTCGCGGCCTAATTTTTTATACGAGAGTACGAATCTCAGCGAGATCAATCCATCCAGACCTCTGTGAGGTCGCAGACAAGGGAGATATCGCTGTCTATGCCGCTCTGGTGTCCAGTTTGCGACGAAGGCGCGGGAGTTGCTGGATGGGGGGGTTGGGTTCTGGATGGAATCGGCCGTTGTACCATCAGTGGTTTAGCCCATGTGTTGACCTTTGGGGCTAGCGCGGGGACCAAGACCTCTGGAGGAGGAGATTGTGGAACCAAAGTTGCGCGGGGGTAGACCATTGTGGCGCCCCTCTGCGACCGTTTTGTGCCGGGCGCTTTGAGCGCGAAGCTTTTGGACAACCGCGCTAATTCGCGGGATGTCCTTCGTTTTCGGACAGTACGCAGCTGGGCGGATTAAGCTCCTTGCGGATGGGAATGTGCTCGGGGGTTGCGTGGTTGTCGAGGCACTTAACGCACCTAGGTCGGGCGTAACAATTGGACGCCGAGTGCATATAATTGGCAACAGTGGCATTATGCAGGGGCTGTTCGCTTACGTGGAGCTTCGATAATGAGCCACTGAGCTTCAGTGAGCACACTGTCCAGACATCATATAATGTCTTCCCCTCTCCATGAGTGGGAGATACCACATTACCATATTAAATTATTATTTTTTGTGCGAATATCCTGCATACGGTGCACGTCAATGACTGGGAGTCCTTGCTCACGTAGGTCCTCTTTAATGTATTCGGAGCTGAACTCCTAAGAGATTCGTTTGATAAGGACCCTAAGTATGCGTTCATCTTTGAGGTGGTGTGGAAAGAAATTTGCCTTTCGGCAAGAAGTTTGGTTAACGACCGGCGGTCGTTCACAGTTTGCGGTGAGACCGGTGAGACGGTATCCAACCGTGCACATATGGTCTGCTTTTGTATAATTAATTTTACTGGCAACCAATAATTTCAATATGGTTTGCCATTTCTCTTTGTACTGAATGATAACAGGTGGAGGGAGCTTTGAGTGCCTTATGGGCTGGGGCAGGCTGAAACGGAGTTGTTCATTGGCACCTGCTATTTGCACGCGTGTTTTGACGCCCTTGAGGCGTTACAGTTGTGGCCTGCTTTTTAGCGGGGCAACACGATTACTACACGCCGTTTTCGGCCTTCGATGACGGTGAAGCCGTCGTCGTCGTAGATGGGCCGGCGACTTCCAATTCAGTCACGGGCTAATCGGTTTCGAAAGCGTTCTATTTCTTCTCGCGAGGAGTCTAAAACCGACGCTTGCGAGCAAGCGCACGATGTCGCCACCGAGGTGCGGGAGACGCGAGAGGGATCGCGGGATGCTTGGCGCCGGCGTGACGGTCAGCGCGGCCGCTGTCTCCGTCAGCCTTGCCTTTTCTTTTTTTTGCGAAAAGTTGCCAAACGAGCAGACGGTTCACCTGAATAATAAAAATGAATACCGCTGCCCATGGACATCTGCTACACCGGAGGGTTACAGATGCGTTGACAACCTTTTGAAAATTGGGCTCCGGCTACTTCACTCACCAGACGAAACGCGAAAGTATTAGTCATACTTCCACTTTACGCTGGTCTTCTGTGAGGTCGTGGTACTTACCCGAACGGGCCTGCCCATTCGTGCAACAACCGAGGCTGCTGCGTGGCCCTACCACCGTCGAATTTCTCCGTAAATTTCTCTCGCTTTCTGCGCGAGTCGCGCATTAACATTTAATTGGTTACGTCCTGGACTTTATTTTCGTTCTTGATTTATTAGTAGCGCTCGCGGGCGAGGGTGACGGATTAGTCACACTGGGTTTTGAAGCCTCCTGTAGGCATTTCGCTAGGTTGACGCTGGGTAATTTTCTGGACCAGGTGCTCCGGATCCCCCCTAGCGTTGCAATAGCTGCCGGATCCATATCAACTCGGTTGAGTATATAAGTCTCCCTGCCCGCAGGCAGAGAGGTGAATACACGAGTTTAAGAAATTGTATCTTATCCTTTAAACAAGCGATATATACAGCGTGTCGTTACCACCGCGACAATAAATGAACACACATATAAAGGATAACTTTTTAAAATTGTATTAAACATTTACATTCTTTAGACATCAATATTTACCGAGTTATTAAATTTTCCAAAACAAACAATATTAGAACACCCTTACGTATAAAACTGTAACGTAAAGTTCATTTGTAAAGGTCACAAAGCATATGAATGGGTTGAATAATTTTTTTTTATGATTATTGGCAAGTAGCGTTAGAGCGTGTGTTCATTTATATATATATATATATATAATCAGAATCTCGGAAACGGATACAGCGATTTTCATGAAATTTAGTATGTGCGTAGATTCGGGGGCGAAAAATCGATCTAGCTAGGTTTCATTTTTAGAAAATGTCCACTTATCCCTGTTTTCAGGGAATGTAAAATATCATTCGAATATGACGGTAAATTTCGTCAGACGGCCGTGGTTCGTGTCACGATCGTTTTGCACACTTTTTTTTTACTTTTTTTCGATTCCAGATCATTGCTTTCTTTATTTTTTATTTTTTGTAGATCCAGATGATTTTGTTATTTTTTCCCCTTTTTTTTAATGTTTCTTTTGTGAAAAACACCACTTCATATTTTCTTATTCTGTCGGTAAGATCGAAAAATATTATGCATATTTCATTACTCAGTAATTTGTATCTTACAAAAGTAAAAGTACATACTAAATTTCATGAAAATCGCTGGAGCCGTTTCCGAGATTCCGATTATATATATATATCTATATATACACAAGAATTGCTCGTCAAAGGATAAGAGATACACTAGCTAGACTCACCGAAAAAAACCCCATACCTATAGCAAGCAGCTCAGGAACAACGGAACGCACCAACACTACTCACAATAAGCGCGGTGTCTCAAGAGACACTATAATTACAATTATATATTATATTACATGACATCACCCGCTTCCTATATTTATCATGTTGGCAGAACTGTGTATTAAATTTTTGAAGTCAAATTAATAAAATGGCGGACTTTCTTATTGAAAATAACAAGTTTGAAAATATTTATTTTTTCGAAAACCATAAGCGCCAAAGTTAAAGTTCAGTACATTTACCCAGCCTCCAACCATGGACACCGAGATCCTACGTTATGGAATCCGAATGTGACCCGACCATAGATAAGACATATATACTGAAACTGGACCCGACCGACTTTTAAATGGCCAACGTCATTTGAGGTCCCAATGTGTCGGATATAGATAGTGTGATATTATAGATGGCGGCACATACACAGAATGTTCTAGAACTTTTTCTTTGGACGATAGAATCACAATTAAAAAATGATAATAATAATGAAAATAACATAATGGTTATGCAATATCTTCTCCCAAGAGTCAATATTTACTTTACTTACACTATAAATAATAAATACTTATATTTAAAATTATAATGGTAATGTTAACATATAAAAATGCCATCTAATGGACAGTAGCAAAACTACTAAAGCAACGTACTACTCACTACTCATTACTTTGCTTTAATTAGTTATTAGTATAGCTCAACCAACGATAATTTTTGTAACCAAAATAAATAACAGTAGGATGAAACTCATTGGAAAAGGAGGGGAATAAACAAAACTCAACCAACACCCACCCCCCACCACTCCCCGAATTCAGATCGCCCTTAATTTATTTTTCCTTTAATTTTTATGACATTTCCCTCCTTTTCCAATGAGTTTCATCGTACTGTTTTTTTTATTTCACTTTTTACCATTTTTAAAAGCTTAAGCCCTGGTCTGCATGTTTAATACAAATTGCTGTTTGCGTCAGGCCGCTAATATTTTGATAGTTGATTGTGACTTTTATAAACTAGTTTAAAAAACAGTTTGTATTAATTATTACTAAAACAGTCTTTAAACTCGTTGAAAAAAATATATCATAATATTTACGTTGATGTTAGAATAAACGTGGCTTTATTAAGGCCAAGTACTGCTAACTAAAGCAACGCAGTATAAACCAGTTTATAAGTTCGGTTATCACTAAAGGCTTCCTTGTTAAAAAATATGAGCTTTCGCCGGACGTCTGTCAGATGTGTAACAATGATACTATTTTATACAGTTTTTATGTGTTATAGGACACTATGAAAGAAAATAAATATAGCATAATCAAAAATAAATAATATCCAGATTTAAAATATATAAATTCAAAAATTGTTCCATTGTCACTTATCACTTGTGCATGGCGAAGCATCGCCACATAGTATTAGTTTCATACTATCAAATAACAAAGTCCACCTGTTTCCCAATCTGCGAAACGTAGTTATGTAACTGAACAAGTACAAATACATCGGCTTCGCATTTTCGAAAATTCTATAAAAAGACCAAGTCATGGTCCTGGAGTGCTTTCTTATCATATTATTGTTTTGAACTGCATTTTAGAAAGTATATGATTATTAGGACAATAGGTTCCTTTTTGAAATGATTAAAGTATGTGCATATTAGTTTCGTAACTGTATTAGTATATCTACGAGTTAGAATTAGTCTTCTATGAAGACTATCGTATAGCGTGGTGAATGTAATGATGTACACAAACGAAAATAATTTTGAAAGATTTTGTTTAATGTTTATTTACGTACATTGTTGTGAACTTTTTCTTTTCACATTTATCACTTAAACTTTAAGAAGCTCTAATAAAAATCTTTCAATATATTTTCTAAAACTATGTCTATAGTTAGCGAAATATTATATATATATATATATATATATATATATATTTTATACGTCTGTATGTCATTAAACTCCTCCTAAACGGCTGGACTCATTTTAATGAAATTATTTTGTCTGTCTTCTTATCATTATCTTATAAATAATGTCGCTAGATGACGTTGTGTTACATGAAACTATAATAGTGTCACTACTCCCCGCTAGATGTTTTGATTCGAAAGCTAACAAACGTCAAAATCGATGTCATCTTATTCATAGTCAATATCAATTACCTTACCATAATTCCTCTAAACTAAACTACAAATGTGTTATTTACATTTATGTGAAGTGTAGTTAAATAAGTTAATAATCAGTCTCCCATTTTCTTTCAACAGGTAAATATTTATATGTATTTATATAAAAATGCAAGATTTAAATAATATGTTTACCAAACTCAACAAATTTTAATAATTAATGTGAATGTTATGTGGGACTGCAGTTACCATTTGAATTTAATGTTTTTAGTTGTTGTTTTAGAAGGTTAATCATAACATATGAATTTTTTTGGAAATGAGTTTAGTACCGTATTTGAAGTTTTTCTTATTTTCAGAAACGATCTTCAGAATGGAAATGATTGAAATTGATCCGAAGCTTTTTGTAACATGTAGATTGTGTTTAGATAATATGGGAGTATACCAGATAGTACCTTCAGTACAACAACAAATAAAAAGTTGTTATGATATTGAGGTGAGAGAAGTTTTCCTATATGGTGGTAAAGAAAAAAGTAAAAAAAAAAGGCATAGAATTTTTTTTTAAATATTTAATTTCAGGTTGACCCATTTGATGGATTACCTCAGTTGATTTGTAAGGATTGTGAATCTATATTAAGCAAATATGTTGAAATAAAATACACGTACATAAATAAGCAAAGGACATTGAAGGAAAAAATACAAGGCAAAACTGTAAGTAACTTGTTGGAAAATATTTTATTACTCGAAAAAAATGTAAATAGATATCCATTGATGTTACCCATATTATTGAGTGTAGAAATAAAATATTTTTACATGTTAATAAGAAATTTGTCCAATTTATCTGTATTGATAATTAATAATTTATGGTGTATTTTTTGTCTATTTGTGTGTAATGATTAAAACTGACCGTAACCATTACCACAGCATATAACTAATATTGAAATATTTATGATTGTTCATTCACTCACCGACGCACATTTATATTGTCTTCTTTGTTAATAATAAGTTTTTTTTAATGGGTTATGTCAATATGTAAATCCCTACTACAACATTGGTTTGTTAAATTTCTTACTTTTATAATTGCAATAGCAATGCAGAGATAATGTGACAATGTTTAACATCTCTTATATATGATTTTTTATGAGGTTTTTAACAGATCTGTGAGAACTTTATGTAGACTGGAACCTTTAAACCAATTATATCTGGCTATATTATGACAGGAACATAAATTATCTGAGCAGATATCACTACCTATATACCATTGATCATATTATATTCTGCATTGTTTTACCAATCTTAATGACCAGTTCTAGGCTGTGGTGTTGTTGGTCTAAGCTATGGTTCTGTTGGCACTGGCCTCTATTCACAGAATTTTCACTGTGTTAATACTTCCATTACATTTTCGAATCAGAAACTATTTTCTTTATGTCTTAATGTTTTTGTAACATCAAAAAAGGACAAAATCATATAGTTCCACTCTATATATGTTGAATGCACAGTATTGAAGATCTTTTAAAATATATGAATCTTTTAAAGTGCTATAAAGGGAAGTTAAACATTAAAATTTGTAGAAAAAGTACAAAAAGATTGTTGCCGCTGTAGGAATCGAACCCACATCTGTGGCATAAAGGGAAGTTGTTAGATGGTTGTGACTAGGGTTGCCAACCATACTATAATTATTATTAAACAACGAACATATTCTACTTTATTTTTGGTAAATATACTTTATATTTTTGCATAAAAATAAAGTATATGAAAATACTCCATTTTCACTCTTTACTGTGATGTATAAAATAAAACACTTAAAATGTATGTACTGGTATGAATAATTACTGAACTTTTATCTCCATACTTCTAAGTTGAAACAGAACACTTTCAACATAAAAGCTTTTGCTGTTAATTATATTATATTATGAAACAAAAACATTTTCGTCCCAAGAAAATTTATCCCATTTCTTTTCTTATATGATAATTTGTTAATTTGTCATTTGTTAAATTTGTGCTACTATGAGTTTTCCCAGATTGTCTAATATTGGCACGTAAATTCTCCAAGCTGATTTTTAAGTATATTTTAGACAATATCTTTAAAATAAATCGTCAGACTTTCCCAGAGACTGCGTGGACCCGTGGGTCGTATTGCTTTACAGACGCTTCGAAGGTCCCAAAATAATAACTTCACGAAAATTCTGACGCTCTTTTTTGATATTTGTTCTGACAACTATTGAGCAATACTTATATTAGCATTATTGTATTGACCTCTCTCTCTCTCCCTTACAATTTACTCATATCGATTAATTATTAATAGTTGAAAAGTATGCAGTGTTCTACCGTGTTTGTTGAGTGCAGCTGTGATTTCAGCAATGACGTGTGTCAAAGAAATAAACATATTTGTATAATAATAAATAAACATAATCAGATTGGGGTGAGATGCGAAATTTTTTTGCTTCTTATCCTTGACGGCAAATTCTCTTTGCTTTTAATATCCTTCAAGCTGCGCGGAAGCCGTAACCGATGTGGTACGTCAAGCAATGGAGTATTTCTTCCCGTTTGCTAACCCATGAAAGCTAGCCCATGGTTTAACGCTGAATGTGCTCAGGCTGAAAAGAAACAGCATTCGGCGAACAAGCATCCTGGGTTGATGCTCGGCACCGCAAAGCTCCGGACATTACCTTAAGAAGAAAGCTTTTAACCGGGCCGCTAAGTCCCATAAAAAGACGTTGCGGCGAGCTGGTTTCGACCGTATTCAACAAATTGGCACGAAGCTCTCTGACCAACCATCTGGCAGCAGAGCTTTTTGGTCTCTTGCCAAAGCGGTCGAATCCAACTTCTGCCGGCATCGGTGCCTCCACTGGTAAAACCGGATGGATCACTGGCACATGCGGGTAAAGGTAGGCCGATTTATTTGCCTCTCTATTTGCCCACAACTCACGTCTGGCCACTGGGAGTAATACAGCACCCTCACTTCCTCACTGCGATACCTCCAAGACGGAGGTTCGTATAAAAAACCGCGAGGTCTTAAGAGCCTTAAGGAGTCTAGACGTGAACAGAGCTTGTGGACTGGACGGTATACCAGCGTTAGTTCTGAAGGCTTGTGCACCCGAGTTGGCGAATGTGCAGCCCATTCCTAAAAAGTTTAGTCGTGCCGATCTTGCTAATTACAGACCAATTACCTCCATACTCTGTAAGACTATGTATAATGAACGCCCGTTTCATGGCGTACCTAGAACACAACGACCTTCTCAGCGACCGCCAGTATGGATCACGGTACCACCTTCTAGTGTACGCCATTCATCTTTGGGGCGAGGCCCTCGAGAACGATGGTGAAGCACTTGCGGTTTCACTAGATATCTCGAAGACTTTTGACAGGGTCTAGCACGCCAGCCTCGTCAGCAAGCTTCCAGCTTCTGGCATATCTTCTGGCCTAATCGGTTGGGTGAAGAACTTTCTGAATGAGCGGTCTCTCCGAGTAGTCGTCGTAGGCTTTTTATCCGAGCCACTGATGACTAATGCCGAAGTTCCTCAGGGTTCCGTCCTTTCCGCAACCCTTTTCCTGCTTCATATTAACGATCTGCTCATGTCCGGTATCTATAGGTACGCGGATGACAGCACAGTTGCGGAGAGATACCAACCGAGTCTTCGGATCAGTAGAGATCACATCCAGTCCGTAAGAGAGGTCATGGTAGAGCGTTTGAATCTTACATTGCAGGTGGCCTCTAAATGGGGCGACACCAATCGGTAACGGTGGTAGGGCCACGCAGCAGCTTCGGCTGTTGCACGAATGGGCAGCCCCGTCCGGGTAAGTACCACGACCTCACAGAAGACCAGCGTAAAGTGGAAGTATGATAAATACTTTCGCGTTTCGTATGGTGAGTAAGGTAGCCGGAGCCCAATTTTTAAAAGGTTGTCAACGCATTTGTAAACCTCGGGTGTAGCAGATGTCCATGGGCGGCGAGATTCACTTAACATCATGAGAACCGTCTGCTCGTTTGGCAAGTTTTCACTTCTTCTTCTGGGGTGCCCTATCCTATCGGATGTCGGCGACCACCACACCGAACTCTTCTCTATTCTGCGCCAATCTACAAAGACTGACGGCGTCCTTGATGTCTGTCCATTTTTTCAAATTGTCACTCCATGTTATTCGCCTTCGTCCCCTTCCCCGTTTTCCTTCTATTTTTCCTTCAATTATATTTTTCAATATGTTATATTTCTCATGTCTATATATATGTCCAAAATACGCGGTTTTACGTTTTTTAATAGTTACCAATATTTCTAGCTGTTTCTTCATTATATTAAGTACCTCTTCATTCGTTATTCTATCTCTCCATGAAATCCTCAACATACGTCTATACAGCCACATTTCGAAGGCGTTAATTTTTGATTCGGTACTTTTGTTTAGCGTCCAACCCTCGGCCCCATACAGAAGCATTGACACAACGTAACACTTCACCATTCTCCATCTGAGTTTAATTGTGATGTCTTGTTATTGTAAAGTTTTTTCATTTTCATGAAGGTGCACCTGGCGATTTCTATTCTCGTACGGATTTCTTTTTCAGGGTCGGAGTCTTCGTTTAGCCAGGTTCCCAAATATCTATATTTTTCAACTTTTTCGATGGTTTGGTTTGCTATTTTTAATGTATCTGGCACTATCTTATTCTTGTTAAAAATTATGTATTTGGTTTTCGATATGTTCATTTTTAGACCATACTCTAATATTTTTGTGTTCAGTCGATCAAGCAGATACTGCAGGTCTTCGAGTGAGTGTGCCAGAAGAACGGTGTCGTCAGCATATCTCAGATTATTTATTACGGTACCGTTGACTTTGATGCCTGTTTCTATTCCATCAAAAGCTTCATTAAAAATGTTTTCTGAGTAAAGATTGAACAGTAATGGTGAAAGAATACATCCCTGTCTTACCCCTTTTAAAATTTGTAGTTCCCCGTTCTGTGATCTCCTATTATAATATGTGCAGTCTGATTCCAATACAAATTGCTTATTAGTCTGATATCTTTACTATCTACTTCGGTCCTCTTTAAAATTTGCATCAATTTTCCGTGTTTAACGTTGTCAAACGTTGTCGTTGCGCTTTTTCAAAATCTATAAAGCATGCATCACATTCTTGCTAAATTCTCGACACTTCTGTATCAGCACCTGTATGGCGACAAGGGCCTCTCTAGTTCCTAATCCGTTACGGAAACCAAATTGCGTGTTTGATATATATTTATCAATTTTATTGTATATTCTAAGATGTAATATTTTTAAGAATACCTTAAGGGCATGACTCATTAAGCTAATTAATCTATGATCACCGCATCTCTTTGCATTGGACTTTTTTGGAATTGGGAGAAAGGAGGATTGAAGCCAGTCGTTTGGGATATTTCCCGTATCATAAATATTATTGTAAAGTTTTATCAATAACTGCAAACTGTCGGTATCTAATAGTAATTTCAACATTTCTGCATGCACTCTATCTGGGCCAACCGCTTTTCCATTCTTCATGCAATTAATGGCTTTTTCTACTTCCCCTTTAAGTATGGGGGGTCCTTCCAGTTGATGTTCAAGCTGATATCTTTCCCCATGCGAGTTTACCATCTCTCTCTCATCTCCAAACAGATCTTTTATATATTTTTCCCAGGTCTTACATTGTTGTTCTTGATCTATAATTAACACATTTTCTGCATTTATTAGATTTCCCGTTAATTTTTTTCTATGAGTATTTGTATCTTTTTATGCAAATTGAAGCTATCGTGATTCTTTTCCAATGTTTCTATTTCTTCGCATTTATCTTTATACCATTTATCTCTTACTTCTCTGATTTTTGATCGGATCACTATATCTATCTCTTTATATTTAGTCTTGTCTATTTCTTTATGTTTCCTTCTCTCTTCCATTAAATCTAAAATTTCTTTTGTAATCCATTCTAGCTTTTTCGTTTGTTTTCTATGTCCTAAACATGATTTTGCAGTATTAATAATTCCAGTTTTAATCTTATCCCAGGTTTCTTCTATATCAATCAACTTTACTGTCTCTGTCAATTTCTGGAGCTCTTCATCTAATAGTTGTTGTGTTTTGAGTTTTATGTCTAAATTTTTGAGTTTGTCAATATCAATTTTTTCAAAATTATGTGGTTTGCTCAATACTTTGAGTTTTAACTTTAATTTAGCTACGAGAGGATTATGATCCGATCCAATGTCAGCGCCTGGGTATGTTTTCACATTTATAACAGAATTTCTAAATCTTGTCTGGATCATTATGTAGTCTAATTGGTTTCTTACTATGCGATCCGTTTTATCCATAGGCGAGATCCATGTGTATAGTCTCCGTGGTGGTTGCTTGTACCATGTATTTGTAAGAACTAGGTCTCTTTCTACACAAAATTGTAGGAGTCTATCGCCTCTTTCATTTCTTTGTCCTAGGCCAAAGTTTCCAACAGTTTTGCCTACTGCCCCTTTCCCGATTTTAGCGTTCATGTCTCCAAGTACTATAATTACTTCTTGTGATTTTATACTGTCCATCACTTCTTCAACTTGTCTGTAGAAGGATTCTATCTCATCATCCGTTTTCTCGGCAGTGTGTGCGTTGGAGTTGCGTGATTTGATTCCTCCTGCCCCTTTCCAGCATCGGACAACTAGGCGGTCGGCGAGGCTCCACCCTTATGCTGTCGATGTTCCCAGAACAAAAACAAAGCGATTTGCTTCGTCATTTATCATCCGTACAGCTAAGGAATGGAACAATGTCTTTCCGTCCGATTACTACGTAGGCGACTTTAAGGCAAGGGTGAATAGGTTTTTACTGAGCGCGCTTACCATCAAAGGCTGCATCGCCACTTACCATCAGGCGGGATGGCAGTCAAGTGCTAACCAGTTCTAAATAAAAAATAATAGAAAAAAAATTATCTGTATAATCCTCAACGATGATGGAATTAGACATACCACGTATTGAGCCTGAAGCATCTACTTCTCAACATTTTAATTCAATTACCCCTCTTATACCTGATCCTATAATAATACCTAGCCCACTTATTTTACTTTTTTATTTTGGCCCAATTGGTTCCTCCAAATTTACAGGTCCATATTGAGCATCTGAAAAATATTGATTTACTTTCTGACAGTAATATTGAGGTTGATGTAACTAATACTCAACAAAGACTTACTTGTATGTAAAAATAAAGTAAAGTATCAGCCTATACATGTCCCACTGCTGGGCAGAGGCCTCCTCTGTACAGAGGGTATCAGGGCGGATTTTGGTGCGGTGTTCTTAAATAGATAGGGTGATTCAAGAGGAAGGTGTGTATGTATAATACAGTAGAGAAAGACTGATAATAGAGGTTTCTAATGCGATGTGTGCCAATGTGTGGAGTTAATACTGTTGATATTCACGTAGGTTAGAATAAGACTATGATACCTGTATATTATATTGTAAACTAATATTTTTGAAAAATAGCAACTGTTGTCGAGTTGCTAGCCGGCCTCTTCTCAACATACACTTTACTATACGAACCTATATACATAATTTATGATGTAAAATTTGACGATTCATAAGAGTGCGCAAGCGTCTATTTGAATAAATATATTTTTGATTTTGATGTAGAAAACAAAAATTCAGGCTAAAACAACAATATTTACCGAGTTATTAAATTTTCTAAAACTAAGTATTTTAGAACATCCTTACGTATAAAACTGTAACGTAAAGTTCATTCGTAAAGGTCACAAAGCATATGAATGGGTTGAATGAATTTAAGAGACAAAACATACTGTTAGAAGGAGAGGCTTGTAATGCGACGCTGTGGCAACGAATGAAAAAGTCTCTGAATGTATGAATCAGTCAATTGTAGTTGTATAGGTGTTACAAATTTTGTTTCTCTTTTACTTAATTAGTTTGTTTGAAAAATATTTTTTTTAACTATGGATTTTTTTAACGTTAATATTTTTTATGATTATTTGCAAGTAGCGTTGGACGTGTGTTCATTTATTGTCGCGGTGGTAACAACACGCTGTAAATAGATATTTGATAACATTGTATAGAAAACTGTAATTGGATACAAGCTTACTGGATGTTATTTTTGGATAAAGTAAATAAAATACAGAATATGTGTTTCGAACCTTGTTTCGTTTTTTAAAATATTCACTCGCAATTTTTTTTATAATGTCTTTGTTATGAATTATTTTGAGTCTGGTGTCGTTTAGTAAATTATTTACCTTAAATTATTTATTGTCAATCCAAAATCAGTAAATTTCCTGCAATCGATTGAATGCATGTTCTTAATCTGTTACTATCCTTTTTAGGATGAGGAAAAGAATGCAAATTGCGTTGCAGTCTTTACCTGCAAATACAAACATTATTAATCTTTTGTCGTAACGTATAACAAAATAAAATGATGAATAATGAAAAATAACCGAATAAAATATATGAATAATAACGGGCCGTAGTTATGTCAGTAACGTTCCGTTACACTGTTTAAAATTACTTCCAGCATTTTGCATACAGTCGTTTTTGGTAACTCTGAATTGCGGTTAACTTTGAACAAAGTTGTGAAAAAGATTTATTAATTTATTACACAAAAAAAGGCCAAAGTGTTTTGAAATAACGAAAAGTAAAAAAAAACTTTCAATGCAATAATTTAGCAAATTTCCTGCCTTTTCCGCGGTGCAGTCATTGGAAGTATTTGTTGCTCTGATTTGGAATCGTAATTAAAAATACAAAAATTATTGGAAACATGCATGTTTCCAATAATTTTACAAGAAACAGGCATAGTTTTTATCTCTAAAGGGTAGTTTATATATTATTAATTTCAAATTATTATCCGTATTTGATGTTAGATATTGTGTAAAACTGATAAAGTTTACACAACGTTCAAAATCGAAATAATATGGGTAACATTGAATGGTTCAAAGTTACCGATATTATTTTTATAACTTGCCGAGTTACGAGTGGGGTGTATTGATCCTAGAAAGAAACCCAGAATTAAAAGCAAAAATAGCAATATCCTGTATATGACATATCCCGAAACAGGACTTAAGTCACCCGAGAAATGTTCGAGAATTTCTTTGATAGTCTTAAAATGGAAATAGAAGGAGTCCCATCAGAAAATATAGGGGGGGGGGGGGGGGGGTCTTTTTGAAAAGTGCCCAAATTTACACAGGAGGTTCAGACTCGGTAGTATAATCGTTTATTGAAATAAAAACAAACTTCTTTTTTCAAAAAAATTGCCACTCTGTTCCCTAAAAAACAGAACTTGTTGACAATGCGGATTAAGCGAACTTGTTAAGTATACATTAGCTTTAGTTGCAATGATTTTTGTTGTAACATAAAAACTGGACAAAATCATATAGTTTAACTCTGATACCTTGAACGGACAACACTGAAGATCTTTTAAAATATATGATTCTTTTAAAGTACTATAACGGGGAGTTGTTAGATGGTTGTGACAGATGTTGTTATAAAAACAACTTAGGGTCACACATTATAATCGGTTTCCATAACGTTTCTTGCATCAATAATATGTTGTTATCATGTAGGTAACTCGAGGAAATAGTTTAAGGATAAATTTCGCAATCACCATCGGCTTAGGCCGACGTTGGTCGCAAACCCGGTTAGCATTGGGTTAGCAGTATTTTTTGATTGTGGCATAATTTTAATATTTAGGCATTTTGGAGGGTTCTGTTGCATTTGACGAGTCATTGGCGGGCAAAACAGTTACGGATCTCATATTCTTAAAGTGGACATTTGTTAAATTTAGTTACTACACTCGGTTAGGGTTTCTGTTTGGTTGATAATAATTTAATATAGGCCATATTAAATTTTTACTTGTTTATTACCATGCTGTTGATAGGTACATGTTTGTAATGGATGACCCTTTCATCAAATTATTCATTTTGTATAATAACCGTTTTTGCGTTTTATAAAATTACTCGAAGATTGAAGTTAAAAATGTTTGGAATGAAGTTCTGTCATATCAGATCAAACGTTCAGCCTTTTGTCAAAACGAAGCTGCTCACTAAGATTCAGCCTGATAGTATTTTTATTTTCAAAATATATTGTGTAAATCAATACGTGAATTTTCGAAGTAGTGACGTGTGTTGAAAAAAATTGTATTATGTATAATATACCAAGACGTTATAATTTTCAGAAAAGTTTAAAAAACTTGAAAATCTGTCACATTCTCTTCATAATTGTTTGAAGGAGTTTTTTTTTTCATTTTCTAGGTATCGTCCGTCAGTAAACCAATAGAATCTGAGCAAGGCGCTGTTAGTTCAACTCAAGAATTTACCAATTACGAAGAGGATAAAAAGGGGTATACAGAAGTAATGTTTATTGATACTTCATCGAATAAATCGTCAGATACGGAGCATGCTATGAGGAGGAGAGTGAAAAACAAAAAATCGGTCAAAAGTGTGCAAAAGCGCCCTTCGGAATTGTGGGAAACAAAATATGATAAATTTTTTATATGTAGATTTTGTGAAAAACCTTGTAAAACGAGATGTGGAATAGTTAGCCACGTAAAAACACACCCCTCACTAATCAGCCAATATCGTAAATGTATAAAGCGGGAATGTTCAGTTAAATTAAATAAAACTGATAACAAACTAAATTTATGCAATTCTGAACGGATTGTTGTACACAATTGGGATAGGTTTGTCAATTCTTCAGACAATTTCTATTATACTCTTTTTAGACCAAAACAATCGTTAGATACATGCAATGATGAAGTAAAATCATTATTAGAATGTACAAATCCTTCAACCAGAGACATAGTTTCTGAATCTAGTGACAGTGAACCTATTTTTAAACGACGATGTAAAAGAAAAAGGCGCCGATTGGTCTCTAAAAGTTCAAGTGACACAGTTGTCGTTGAAAATAATATAAAAGATTACGATAAGTTACAAACTGAGGTTAATATTTCTTTAGAATCTTCCAAAGCTATGGAAACGAACGACTATGAATCTATAAATATTGATGACTCCTCTGATAGTGTATCTACCAAAAGTACTAATAATAGAGAAACTGACCCAAGTACACTTTCATTAATATCATCAAGACAAGCAGATTGTAAAGCTATTCAGAATATAATAACAGTTTGTTTTAAAAAGTATCTGAAAAGACTGGAGGGTAATGATTGTGAAGTACCTGCTCACAAAACACAAAATCCACCAAAAAAACTAGATTCTTCCCTTGAACATAAAGTTCTAAGTTTTGGACGAAAGATAATAAATAAAACAGAAATAAGTTGTATTGGTATATTGAGATATTTGGAACATCAAAATCTTGAAATTGTGTGGATACCCAGGCTTCATACACATTCCAATAAAAAACCTGATCATGTCCAAATAATGATTAAATTAAAAAACCGTGAAGAGAATGAATTCCGTAATTGTGGGTGGACGGTTTTACGTGAAATAAAATGCCCTAATCCGATAAAAAATGATGATAGATTGCGAAAAGAAAATTCGACAACTGATATGGTTGTGAGCAATAAAGAAAAAAGTGAAAAAACTAATAAATTCGCTGGAGCGGAAACAGAGCAAACGTTATCAACTAATAGCACCTTTTCAGAGAAGCATTTTGTATTGAAAAGGTTGTTGAATGCCAATCCCGTACAATATCCTAAACAACTTCCAAAGAAAACTAAGTCCAGTGAAATTCATGGTGGCGTGAAAAAATTAACAGAGAATAAAGCAGTGCTTATTCCATTAGAAGCAAAAAAAGTGCAATCGTCGGAAGATCATTTATGCATGCCAATAATAACATCAACAATATCTTTAGCACCCATAACAATCTTGGACGATGAAGGAAAAAAAAATAATCATAAAAATAACATCGCTCCAGTGACATCTAACACATCAATTTCATTAAATAAATCAAATATGAACAGCGCTAAGAGTAACGACAAAAATGAGTGCAATGAAGACACACAGCAAGGTGCGCAAAAAAATGCTCCGTGGATTAAAGTTAAACCCGTCTCCGAGTTGATGTCGGATAAAGCTTTGAACACCATCAACCAACAAAATATCCAACAAATCAATATTGCCACAAATCAAAATGAAAATATTATCTTACCATATAAAGACTCCGGTAACGTTATTTATATGACAAATATTGCTGTATCACAATTAAATAATGCAAGTGGTTCCATTAATGTAGTTCCAGCACCTCAATCATCATCTTTAGAAATGTGTACTGAAAGTAATATGATGGCATCAGTGGGTTACAATCAGCCAGAGAGTGTATTAATGGATTCAGTTGATATGCCCTATACAAGAACTGACTCACCATTTAACTATTTAAAAAATTTATTACAAATGCATAACCTTATTTTATTACAAACAAATGAAACAATGCCACTGGACTTCATCTGTTTGTTAAAGTTTAAATTAGTTTTCCAGCAAGAATTAAACTTACCCGTTATTCTTTGTTTGGCACTTTTTTACTCAAACAGGCACTTTTGTCTCAAAGTTAGAGACGCTAATCAAAAGGAAATCGATATATCTAGACTATCAGCTAACTGGCAATGGGAAATACTGAAGGTATATACAGGGGATGTGGTACCAAAGTTGCTCCTAAATGCACAAAAAATTGGTCGGGAAGTTTACGAAAACACTAATATATTTCTTTGTCTTTTGAGAGGAATTAAGTTTCAAAGCTGTCTTAAACAAGTTATGTAAAAAAAATAGGTATTTTTCACAAAATACTTTTTGTTACCTAGTCTTGGTATTTACAACAATAGTTTCGATTAAGATATTTCAAATCTGAAAACAGATATCAATATTGTATATGTGCATATATCCGAAGTAATTTTTGTATCAAACATTAGTTATTATTTCTGTGCTATGCGTTTTTGTTAAAATCTCTGTAATCACTTATTAAATAGTAAAATACGATTACAATAAAACGAATAATCTGACTTTTTTTTTAAGTAACACAAGTAGCAAGTTGACATAGTAACATAATTAAATAAGCCTCTTTTTGCGTATCCCTGATATATATACAGCATGTCGTTACTAGCGATGGGTCGTTGAAGGTATTTTCTTCAACTTATCGTTAACGTTGATTCATGTTCGTCAACTAGTTGAACAACTAGTTAAATTCGTCGACTAGTTAACGTGACACATACATAAGTATGTTAAATTGCAAGCTCTTTCTTCTACTAGGGAAAACGGATGAAAGCTATCTATGCATAAATCTAACAAATCTGAATTATTTCTTTTTCTTTTGTTCGAAACTAATTTTTTTTCTTATCAAAATCAACCATCATACGCTAGTGTTTAAAGATTGGTACTAAAACACTGATGAAAATATTTAAATATATTTCCGCCACGAGTACATTTTAAAGTTAAAGGGGTGAATTTGTTCGATATTTTCTCCTTGCATACATTACAAACAGCTTTTCCGCTAAAACTGTCTTTTTAGGTACGAAGCCATAACTCACTGTTCATACGTTCAATTATTTTGAATTTTGTACCCACAGTCCTCTATACACTTAAATAATCATAAATTAAAATAAAGAAAACACTACCCACAAAGTAACCACTAAATTCTGATAAACAAAACTAATAACATAAAATAAAATTCCAATATAATTGATTAAAAATTAACAAATTCACAAAAAAAAAAACACTAAACATGAAGTAAAGTTCTGATAATATTTATATTTATATTTAAGTTCTGATAATATTATTCTAAAACCTTGCGCGCAACTATTCACAAACTGTCAGACAAAAATAAAGAAAGCGAACTTAAACATGTCCTTTATAAAATTAAACAAACATTTCAACTCAACTCTGTGACGTTTTTTTTTCAACGTAAGGTTTTCAATTCGTTACGCTTATGTTCTGTTGACTTAACGTATCGTTGACTGCGTTTTTAAACGAATTGATTCAACGACAAAATTTCCGAAACGACGTTAACGAATTCATAGTTGATTCATAGTTATTCTAGTTGATTTCAATGACAGTTAAAGTTAATTCGTTAACAAGAGATCAACGGTTGATTCAACTAGTTCGTTGATTCAACGCCCATCGCTAGTTACCATCGCGACAATAAATTAAAATACGTCTAACGCTACTTGCCAATAATCATACAAAAATATTAACGTTAAACAAAATCCATAATTAAAAAAAATATTTTTCAAACAAACTAAGTAAAAATGAAACAAAATTTGTAACATTCTATACAACTACAACTGACTAATTCATACATTCAGAGACTTCAGATGTTTTGTCTCTTTTAAATTCATTCAAACGCATTCATATGCTTTGTGACCTTTACAAATGAACTTTACGTTACAGTTTTATACGTAAGGTTGTTCTAAAATTCTTTGTTTTGGAAAATTTAATAACTGTAAATATTGATGTTTAAAGAATGTAAATGTTTAATACAATTTTAAAAAGTTATCCTCTATATGTATGTTCATTTATTGTCGCGAATGTAAAGTCACGCTGTATATAAAAATGAATACCTATTTCCTTTCGTCACGCTATCACGCGTGATAGCGTGACCAAGATCACAAGCGTATCAGAATAGAAGAATATACACGCTGTGTATATTCTTCTATTCTGATATATTCTTATATTAATCGGGAAAAAGCTTACTACCTACTACACAATAAAAACACTAAAATCAATATTTCCGTGACATCTTTTTTTTTTTAATATTGCCCTTTGGGATAACATTATCCTGTGTTGTAAAGACGTTTTTACAAATATAAATTTTACGCGGACAAACACCCAGATGCGGAACAACTATCTGTGAGTCACACAAATAGTTGTCCCGTGTGGGAATCGAACCCACGACCCCCGACGCCGAAGTCAATACCTTGGCGACTGCGCCGCGGAGTCATCAAAATGTTGTAAAAATGTTCATAAAATGCAAACTACTTGGCCAAACTATGGTAAATTTTTATGGGACCAAATGGCAACTATTCTGCATCAAACTAATGAATAATCACGGAAATCGGATCAAATCTTAACGTAATCGACGTACATACATCGAAAAAAATATACCAATCGAATTGAGAAACTCCTCCTTTTGAAATCGGTTAAAATATTATATTACTTAAATTAAATATTGAAGGTACTTACATAAAATATATGTGTGCGAAAATATATAAAAACATTATGAATAACAATTTTAATTAGTGGTCCACCTAGGTCCTGGACCCAGCCCAGGGGGGTCATGACCCGACATCAACCGGCTGCGCAGCTTCCTGCCCTGTAATGCCACCGCCGGTGAGACGCCCGTCGTTGCGTGCTCACAATTGCGATATTTCAAAAGGAATTTATTAAGAACCGCGTTAATATCCTCGTAAATAGCCTTCGTACAGTGCTCTTTATATTGTTTTTTTAATAGTTTTGACGGCATGCTCCGCCGTACCGTTTCTCTGAAGACGATAAGGGGCCAAGGTGGTATGCTTAATACAATTATTCTTACAATATATTTAAAGTCTTGTGAAGAAAATGGTGGTCCGTTATCCGTCACTAGCTGCGATGGCAAACCGAATCTTGCCAAAATAGTTTTAAAACATTTTATCGTGGAATTTGCGCTTGTACACTGCATCGGTATGGTCTCGATCCATTTATAATGTGCGTCAATGATAATTAAATATTTGCAAAACAGGGAACTACTGTCCTGTATTTATAAATTACGCAACCTTGCTTTATGACTATATCGTGTTTTCTCGCAAAATAAGGTCTTTCCTCATCGCAGCTTGGTTCTGGCAGCCAACCGAAAAATAGGTATCGTTTAATTTTACATAATAATGCGTCGCGTTCGGTTTCTCGAGCTATGTCACTATGTCCTTATAACAAATGGGCCAAAAGCCGCCTACTGTTTAAATAGTCTATCGAGTCCGCAAAGTGACCCTCCTGGTAACGGCAACCGTGATAAAGCATCAGCCGGACCGTTGTCCGCCGATCGAATATATTTGATGGTAAAAACATATGCGGCCAGGCGCGCCGCCTACCTTTACAAACGACTTGCAGCTGTTTGTGGGATACCTCCCTTATGACCAAAGATATAAGTCAGCGGTTGGTGGTCCGTATACAACGTGAGGCGCCTCCCGAATACGTACTGATGATGTTTAGTGACACCGAATAAGATGGCGAGCGCCTCCTTGTCGAGCTGACTATAATTACGCTCCGGTGCGTTGAGTGTGCGCGCTGCCCACCTTGTCGGCCGTTGACGCCACCACTGCCACGCGCATAGTGCGGGCCCTCGCCCGCCTCGCCACCCGTTGCCCCTGAGTCCGTCGCCAACACCTTTGTGGAGCCGGTCACTTCCGCATGCTTTTCGGCAGCCTCTAAAGCCAACGCGAGCTCCACCGCCTCCTTATAATGGATATTCTTCTCAGCGAAAAATCTCGATCGCTTTGCGTCATTGGCTAGAGCCGACACGAATTGGTCGCGCAGGTTCTCCTCAAATGTAGAACATGTGTTGCATTTGCCAAAATTACACGTAGCCGCGAGATGTTTTAATGCTTGTAAATACTCCGTGAGGGATTCGCCGGGGCGCTGACGTCTCATTCTGAATACGTGGCGCTCAGCGATTTCAGATCGCTGCAGTTCTAAGTGCTCCGTCACAAGTTTGACTAACTCCTCATACGTTTTGTTTTCCGGGAAACAAGTCGAACACAGATCACACATTAGCGCATAAGTTTCTTCGCCCAAAACAGTTATTAACATCGACACTTACAATGCGTCACAAATTTCATTAAGCATACTATACTGATTTACTCGACGAACATACGCGGGCCACGGTTTTGAGCTTAAATTAAGTGGTTCTATTTTTTCCTATATCGGCAGTTTGTACAATTTCTATAAGATCGTATGCGTAAAAATGTAAAAATATCATCCTCGTCGCCAATGAAACGTCAATCAAAGGCGTGTGTAAACAACAGACTGGTTTATTGCACAATTATTTATTTATCAACAGCTTCTACTGTTGTCTTAATAGATAGCAATTATAGGTTTGATTGGTTTATTAGTTTTTTGATTTAGTTTATTTTTGACAATTAGGTGTTACTTGGTAAACTACTTTTGATCATTATAGAGTTAAAGAATAAAGAGATATATAATATGAACAATAAAAAAAAACAATATTTTTTAAAAAGCTAATTGAAAAAAGATCTTCATTCACTATCCAAGGGTCCAGATTGCATTAATATCTGCTAATACTTGTTCAGGTGTAGAATGCTTATGGAACATAAAATATCCTTGAATTTGTGCTGGACTAACAGGCATCTTTTTAGCTAGAACACTGAAAAATAAATAAATAGAATAACTTTTAAATAGAAAAAACTATAGTTACAGTTTACAAAAAAAATATTGAGATTGTTGTTAAGCTTGTTATATATTTGACATTTACTATTTATGAATTGAAATTATTGGTACATCTGAGAAAATTTGTATAAAAACATGACTCACTTTGTAGCAAATGTTTTAGCAGCTATTGCATCTTTATAAAATCTTAAAAACATAAGTTCTACTTGATGTTGATCACAATATCCGACAAATTCTTTCATATCCACTCTACCAGGTCTTATTAAAGCTGGATCCAATCTAAAAGTATATATTTATCATAATTTGTCATGAAATGAATAAATCTATAAAAAAATATTCCACAAGGAATAAAACTAAAAACTCCTGATGGTAAAGCCAGCAATTGGATAAGCTGAGCTATCGGAAACACAACATTATAGAAGATTTATCCATAAGGATTTCCCAAAACATGTATCAACACGGTAAATTTAAATTTTCATAATACCTGTCTAAATAATTTGTTGTCATAAACACTATCCTTGCTTCAGTTGAAGCTACACCATCCAGGCAGTTAAGTAGACCACTAAATGTTACCCTATTGAGTCCTTCATAAGCAGCTTTTTGTGTTGGACTATCTTCTCGAGAAACAAATGCAGCATCAATGTCCTCAAGTAGGATAATTGATTGTTGTGGTGCAACACTGCAAATATAAAAAGAAATATGTTATGCTTGCAAATTTTTCGAATTATATTAATAACAAGAAAAAAGAAATAGTATGTTGTAGAATGAAGAATAACTTATTTAGGTAGGTTTGCGCACCATCTAAAATTTAATTCTTACTTTGAGAGATTCTGATTTTAGGATTTTGTTTTATTTTAGTAAGCAACTTCATTTTTGAGATATACTGTTTTGATAGATGGCAACTCTCCTGAAATTGATTAATTACTTAGTATAGAACTTTTAACAAAAAAAAAAAAACAATTTTTTAGAATAGTTAACCTAACCTAAGAAGATGATTTAGTCTGTCATCTGTCAGTCCTCTTTCTGATAGATTGAGAACACAGATATTGTATTCCAGTTCACCAGCCAATGCCATGATAAATGACGATTTACCACAACCAGGAGGACCATAAAGTAAATATCCTGACAAAAAAGAATTATTTGAATTATTTTGAAGTATTAAAAGTTTACTTATGATGCACCACTCTTAAATAATTAGTCATTTGGTATATTTGGGGGTATATGCAATGTAAAGTTTTTTAGTCTCCACTTGTTTACAATGTGTTTATATCTTCATAAAAAAATCACCGCACAAGTTGATCTTATTGCTGGAACCCATAAGCTTAACTGATAAATAATATAAAAAGGGGAAGAGAGAGTACTAAGAGAAAAATAATATATATCTATTAACAAAAATAATAAAGGTTTATGAGTTACTCATTAAAAAAATCATATTTATATTAATTCACTAACCTATATAGAATATATTATATTAATTAACCTAAATAGAAAACAAGAATATTACCTCTTCGATAAGGAATTCCGCGTTCTGTATACCATTGAGGATTGCCTATAAAATCTAAGCAATCTGTTAGAATCCGTTCAGCTAAACCAGCACGGAGAATAACACTGCTTAGAGGCCGTCTTCTTCTGGGATGTCCAAATGGGCGCCATTCAGAGCCCATTGCAGTATACATAACAGTCATACCTTCATGTTGCTTTAATGCCATAGTTCTAGCTGTAGTAATGAAAAATCTAAATGAAAAACAAATTTATATTTACTCAACTTTTTGCAGAACAATTTATATACAACCTACAAGAAAAAGTTTTTCTCAGCTTATTCAATTCACATTACAAATGAATCAAGAAATATTAAGATTAATAACTACAAACTGGTATTGTTAAAATAAAACATAGACACTAATAATAATGAACATTTGTGAAAACATACATATAAATATGTATAATAGGCTTATCATGTCCAAATTGATAAAAAAATTTATTGGCAAATAGAATTTAACTTAGTTAATACATCTTATATGTAACCATTTGTGACTACAAATTATTTGAATGATCTTTGACTTCTGTGGTTGCTTCACAATGTAAATGGAATTTCAACAGTATAGTGTACATATTATATTATATATACTATAACATAATATGTCATATAAAATGGAGATATACAAGCATTTCAATTTAAAAGAACTTTTATGAATTAGATAAAATTATAAGAACCCATTACATAATACCTTCTTCAAGAATATTGTAATAAACTTCTTTATTACGTCCAAATGCTGTTAATGTTACAGTTTCAAAAGGGATACCCATGTGTAGGTCTATAGTTTGCTGTTCTCGTGTGCGATCGACTCTTATCCAGGTTCCATTATATCTGTAATTTTTAGTAGTTGTTTATTTATTATGAAAGTTTCAATTTCTTTGTACATAATTATGTACTACTTCAGAAATGTTAACCTGAAGAAATGTTGTCCAACACTAGGTATAAATTCGTATTTAGTTTTTATCTGCCCTGTGTCCCTTTGCAGAAAAGATGTTTCGACGCTTAGGTGTTGTGTGTGTCTTGCACCTTTTTGTGTGATCCATTGTAATAACCATTGATAAGATTTATCACGACACGGTACTTCAAGCGTTATCATACACTGTCTTCGAAATAAAACCACAGATGCTTGCAATCCTTTCCGTAAAACAGCGGCAGCGGCTCCAACTCCGAATAAACCGAATCCAGCACCGAAATATGGGTTCTGTGATAATGATGCTACATATTCTGTAATAGGCATGATTAAGTGTCTTGAGTATATTAACCAACTTATAGAAGTTCCAATTCAATATTTGTGTAATAACTGATTATCTCATAGAATTCATAGATATGTCACGCTCACGTCAAACTCACATTGACATTGACATCAGTGTAACCAGATTTCATTTGACGAATCTACTGTTTGACGATGTTAAAAACTACTGAATTCTACCAAAAGAGAACAAGAAAATACTAAAAATCTAGAATATTTTTTGCAGTCATGTTCAAACCTAAAAACATCAATGTTTTCTTGATTAAACGATAAAGTAATAAAAATAACAAAGAAACCAACATAAGTAAAGAAACCAATGTATTTTTTTAAGTTAAATTCTTAATAAAAATAAAATTAAACTTAAAGTTAAGATTCTGTTTTGAGTCCATTAACTTGATCATGCTTCTGTCAGGATCAAATCTCCTACATCCTCCTTCCAACTGATCCCTCGTAACCCTTCTTTTACATGCATTATTGTATGCAACATTCTTATTATTAAATCGATTTCGATCTTGATTTTTAATCCTATTAATATCGGAAAATAATTCTTCTTCGGCGTTTGACAAAGTCATTTGCTTCACAAATCGGGACAAATTGCCGTACTTTGGTTTGCTATTAGCATCACAGATTTGGCTGACTTCACTCCAAAATAGTGGTAGCCCTCGGGTGTAGCAGATGTCATGCCGCCCATAGCAGATGGCTATGGGCGGCAGTATTCACTTAACATCAGGTGAACCGTGTGCTCGTTTGACAACTTTTCACATTAAAAAAATAAAATAAAAATTATCCACCATAAAAGTTTCAGACATCTAACTAGCAGTTGACAGTGATTTTTTTTTAACATAATACGGGTTCACACTCCTGCGTAAGTTGAAAGAACTTAAAAAAGTATTAAAAAGAATAATTAACTAAGAATTACATTCCACATATTAACGTTTGTAACTTGCATACGAAATGCCGGAATATCCTTTCATATTTTTGATATTCTTTGATGTAGCCATGTGTTCCTTCAACGACGCCAGTTTACTTAGCACTTCACAGTTGCATGCTTTACAATGAGCACTCGTAATGTATACAAACCAATTTTTTAATGAGGGATATTGCTCCCATTCATCGCGATATCCTTGTGTATATTTACGTTTAATTTTAAACTGTATTATAAAAATTCTCAATAAAGGAATTCCAACTACTCTATCACACTCTATGCTCACGGCACAAATGGTAACGAAAAGAATGAAAATTAAATAGTTACAATCCATTCAATGAAGGGGAAATACACCGCATTTATCCGATAACCCAAAAAAGTACTAGAATGAAAAGCGTGAATTCTACTAAAATATTCCAAATAATTTTTACATACTAAATTATATTGCCAGTACCTCAAAATCTACCAAAAAAGTAAAAATGTACTAAATCTGGTCACGCTGATTGGCATTGGCTGTTTCTAGTTACGTAAAGATGAGGAAAAATTATCGGTATATCGATATTTTTGGTATGTAGAAAATCGATATTTTGAGCTGATAATTATGTTTAAATCCGATATATCGATACAAAATATTCAATATCAAAATTCGTATCAAAAACGATAAACTCATGGATAGTCCGGTTCCATGGGTCAATAAAATCAAATACTTTGGTGTCGTCCTTGACTCTAAGCTCAAACTCACCCAGCATATGACTCTGGTCAAGAACCGGGCGGCCTTCGTACTCAGTCGCCTCTATCCATTACTAAATAAGACGTCAAAAATGTCCCTTCGGAACAAGGTGACTTACAAACCACCGCTAAGTACGTTCCGCCGTAGACCGCGACACGTCCTCTACTATCCTGTCGATGAGACGACTATCGCCATCGAAAGGATTAAAAAACTACGTAAACGCACCAGAACACACCGCACTCGCCGGTGAGTGCGGCAAACATATACTAGGTTCCGCCGGTTTTCTCCAGTTAATGATAGAAGCGTTGCTGGAGTTTCTTCCACCACATCTCCCAGCGCCAGCGCCCACGCTTTCCGAAGTTGTTGTAATGATAGTTCTAGAAATTATTTAAGACAGATTATAGCTACCGATCGAGCCGAGGTCCGGCCCTCTCGGGCACCCTCGTATAGGAATGCTAAACGCGTATTGAGTGACAGCCCAAGCCGAGGTATCCTCTCGGGACCTCTCGCAAGATCAGGTAACTAACATACGAGGTAACAGCAAAATTTGTTTATTATGCTTATTTTCACAGTATTATGTCTTATGGTGTATTACTTTGGGGTTACGCATACGGTTTAGACACGATATTTATATTACAAAAGCAAGTTTGCATACGGGATGTCTATTGCTTGGGTCCACGTGAATCCCTTCGGCATATTTTTAAGCAAATAAACATCTAAACGCCCTCGTCGCTATACATACTTGAGAACATTATTTATACGTACGAAATATTTGCAAAAAATTTGTCATATCACATCGCGTCGGGGCCATGGTGGCACGCTGGAAATAATGAGGTTTAGACTAGCTAAAACCAGGAAATCGTTTCTTGGTAGATGTATTAACTTATAAAATAGAATAGGTGACATCCACAAACAATTGAGTTTAAATAATTTGAAGCATTTTGTAAAAGCCACCTTAATGGAAAGGGCCTATTATAATGTTGAGGAATACATTGAGGACAAGTATGTGTGGAAATGACTCTTGCTCTGCACTTGCAGGCTGGCTCCTGCTAATTTTATACTTAAACACTTTTGTAATTAAACAATTATTTGTATAGTTAAATAATTTATTTTAAAAAATATTATAATACGACCGCAGAGTTTCTTTGCCGGTTCTTCTCTTGAAGGTCTAGTTTAGTGAACCGATGGTAGTTTTTGACGTTCAATAAGAGCTTAAATATATGAGACTATAATGAATAGAGAAACTTAGACTGTGAATATGTTATTTTTTGTCATCACACATCGGCTGTTCGACAACAGCCGATGCAGTTCCTTGGCCCAACCACAGTTAATCTTTTTTTTAGTATTATCTTGATATTACACACATACACTCCAGTTTTATTTATTTGTATATAATGCGTAGATCATGGTGGAATATTTGTTCTGATTTTAGGTGCACTTTGTTTTCGCTATAAAATGAAACCTAATGCGATACAGGAATAATACCACAATGCGGGAACCAGTTTTAAAAATAAATGAAAAAAGTGAAAATAAATAAAAAAAGTGTAGGATCAACGACCCGATTGACGTAGTGGATAGTGAACCTGTCTCTTGCGACAGAGGATATGAGTACGATCCCCAGAACTGGAAAAATATTGTCTGATGAAAGTAGTCCTTTGACAGTGTCTGGATTCTTACATATAATATTTGTTTATTTACAAAAGAAAAATGTTTTTAAATATGTTAAAGTATGGTTACCAGTTAACTAGCCTATGCTAAAGACTATAGTTTCACATAGTTTGGAACTAAATAGACTTGAGTAAAATAGGCTAATAATAATAAATTTATAGAAAGAGTAGGTAGGTATATGGGCCCACAGCAATAAAAAAGAAATATACTCAACCCTAATTAAGTACTGTAGATATACCTATAATTATATAAATACAACACATAATTGCTGTATGTAGTTAATCCATGTCTTTTATTCTTTTCAAATATTTACGATCTATATACCCTCTGCTCCGTTCCGACAGCGACACTCACTTCTCCCCGTCTCGTAAATACTTTCATGGCGTGCGGGTCACGCGACCCGTATGGTCGACGTCTGACATTAGATCATTTTAATTTATTACACAAGCAGGCATCATTTTTGTATTTATGAAGTGTTCGCATACAATAATTCTACTGAAGTAAAGGTTATAATTGAGTATTATTTTTGTGACGATTAATTATTTCTACTGTTTATTTATTTTGTATCATTAAGAATTATTATAATATATGGTTAAAGCAGCATTATGCCTCATGGTATATTATGGCTTATATAAGACAGCTTTCCTCAATATTCCCACGGATTATAATTTTTTCATTTTCAGATTCTTAATTTTTATAATTTTTTCTTAATTCAGTTTTTCGTTTTCCTATCGCTCAAATTCTACCTAAAAACCTTTATCTCATGCACTAGGACACTCGAATGTACTTGGGTATTATTCATCACTAACTTATATACATAATATGTGTTCATGTCTGTTCAAATATGTTGCTTTTACTTTTTCCTCGTGATATTTTTTTTACTTGTAAATATAGATACAAATTAATGTCTTAAAAAGACAACTATGAGCCAAATATTGTTTTAAATTTCTGTTTGCAAAAAATGATTATAAACCGTATTTATGATTTACTACGTGAAAACTAGAGGGGGAGGGGTATCTTCTTATATTCTACGGATGGTCACCAAGGATAGGGAGAAGGATAAAGAATTATCAAAAATGGGTCACGTAGTATGGGTAAGTTCCCTTATGATCGTTAATCAACACTTATGGAAACCACAGAAAAAGCTCACAAAAAAAATTGTAACTAATTATTTTAAAATTGTGTTCATGAAAATTCTCTTGCCAGTTTCTCTTGGTTATAAACTTCACTATATAGTATAAAACAAAGTCGTCCCGCTGTCTGTCTGTACCTATATATGCTTAGATCTGTAAAACTACGCAAGGGATCTTGATGCGATTTTTTTACTAGATAGAGTGAATCAAGAGGAAAGTTTATATGTATATACATTGTACCCGTGTGAAGCCGGGGCGGGTCGCTAGTGAACAATAAAGATCTATGTGGCTATGGTTTAAGACGCATGATATGTTGTACGTTTCGAACAAATTCTTTATTTGGGTTTATTTCTTGTCTAACCTAATGCATCAAGATACTATGATTACTGCGTTATTTCACAAGCACACAGGTCAGAGGGACGTATCCGAGTACTGTCGACGGCGTGTACTTCCATCAGTGTTCCTCGGCAGGCATGTTAAGGACGCAAATTCACATGTTCTTCACTTTTCTAGATTGGAATTACCCTACAGTTGCTCAATTAGTGTCAGGTGGGGGGTTTATTGGCATTATTTTAGGAAATTAGCTACAAATCTATGATCATGTCAGTTTTACTCTTATTTCAAAAGAATCGTATTATATTTCAATAGATGATCAATCTTGATAGGTATAGTCAGAATTATGCTAGTCTTTTATTTAAGTCTTTTTGCCGACTTTCACATAGTAATTGCGCTCTTTAATTTACATTTTGGAATCGTATGACAGCGTAAACTTGATCGTTTTCCCACAGAGCTGAATCCGGTAGCAATATAATTTTAGTGATACAATACGTATCCGATAATAGCATTAAAAACTCTTGCACCAAAGATGAATATCCATTATTGGTGTATGAGATAGGTGAAACTTTCGGGGGCTATTGGGGACCTCTCCCTGACTCTGTGATGCGACAAGAAAGCAATGCTTCTCAGTTTTACACCTTACCAGCTACTCGACCGACCACTACAACGGATATCAGGTATTTAATTTTTTTAAGGCTTTGCCATTGTTTAGAAATAAGAAAAAAGAAATAAGGTATGTAAATACTATATATTTTTTTCAAGTGATGGAGACGATAGTTATGATGAAAGTGAAGATGAAAGCGCCACTTTAAAGTTAACACAGCAAATAAAAAAGATTACTAAGGGTGATTACTTTGAAATAGAAGTACCATTGGTAAATATTTCTGGAAATTTCTCAGTAGGTCAGCTTCCATCGGAAAGTGTCGATGATGTTTTAGACATATTGGATGGAGACAAACCAAGGTAAAATTAATAGACAATAATAAGTTGTTCATTTTAGATCTAGTATGTTATTACATATTTATATTATTTTAAAGGGAAGGTGTTCTTTACGAAACAAGCATTTTACCTATACTGCAATTTTCGATGGTAACAGCATTTGATCAATTCCGTGGCGATTTTACCACTGAAAACTTAAAATTTGTTACACCTGACTCACGGTAATTTGAGCTTTTTCGTTTTTCATTATTGTTCTATGATTGTTTGTATCTGATGCAAAAACTCATACTATTATTATTATAGACTTTTCTACCGAACCAAATATCGAAGGACTCAATTTCGTGTAAAAAATATAGAGTTTGCGAATAAACGACCTTCATTAAAGAGGAGAAAGTAAGTGTTGGTGGCATCTGGTTTAATTTCTTAAAATTAAAACAAATTCAGTTTGTTCCTATTAATTTTACAGGTTTTTTACCAACATTTTGCCGTATACTGTAGTACCATCTACCAGATCTACAGAACATGTGAATGATCTTTCACTACCATTCACAAATTTGACTATTGAACATTTTACTAAACCTCAAGAAATAATAGACAAGATAATTAATTCATTACGTCGACCGAGTCATGTCGATAAAAATCATGACGCTAGTGTTCAAAAGATTTTAGATTTACAAAATTCGAGTGGTTAGTAATTTTTTGGATATATTACGTATTGGGTAGGTAGGTACCTAGTCAGTCACAAGTTCTGTCACATAATAAAAACTAACTGAGGTATATTTTTGTGAGAAAAGCGTAAAAACGAGTGCAGTTGTGTATAAAAAAATACTTACAAACCTTGTGGAACCTCTTTCTCCTACCATGTTCAATAACAGAAACTGGGTATTCCAACAAGATTGTGGGTTAGCTCATAGAGCAAAAGTCCAAAGCTCCAGTCCAGACCTAAATCCATTGGATTATAAAATATTGGCAACACTTGGAGAAGAAGCCTGTTGAAAGTCTCATCCTGATTTGGAGTCAATTCATGCATCCTTTACTCAGGCAGCCGCCGATACTGGTATGGATCTCGTTCGTGCTGCTTGTATTCAAAGACTTCGCGGACGTCATTTTGATTAAGCTTAGCATAAAAATATATGCTTTTGGTATATAAATGGTTACTGTAAAAAAAATGATTCAATTATTTCACTATAAATATGTGACAGAACTTGACGCGATTAGGTAAATACTGTATAGATGCACCATTCAGTATTTAATTCAGGGAACAAACTTTTTTAATTCAATTATTTTATCACCCAGAAATGTTAGAATAACACTTATTCGTGAATTTTATGATAGGCCACCCCTATTATAACTGGGGGAAATGTAATAGACGAGAATTTCATGCTGTTGAATAATATTAGTTTTTCGGCCTCACAAAAATCAGACATCAAATTATTAATATGACACGTCGTCGACCTTCAAGAAAATCGCTCGAATAATTTACATTTTATATGTTATACGTTCTGTTTGTAATAATCATTGTTTTTATCGACTTCTGGAAGTAAGATGTTATTCATAGGCTCATACAAGTTTAGGCCAAATTTGGCTTTACTCCTCCTGCCATGGCATATGGATGGACGCTAAGGGGTATGCACCCTATATTTCAAAATGTCCACTGCAATAAATATTCTAACAATTCAAAATTATTTCAGTATACTTGTTACCGAAGATGTCTGTTGCCATGAATTCTACTTTTATTCCGCAAATACGCAGAACAGACCGTATGCAAAACATTATAAATTTTACAACAGATCTTACCTCGACGAAAATGTAATGACCACCAATATAACATTATATTTTATTAAAATACATTATATACTAATAAAATATTTATTAGTAAAATATAACATCTTAAACTTTTAATGCTCTAGTAAGTTTTTTCTTTGAAGTGTCAAATAATTTTCTAGATACAATGATTCAGCTGAGTTAATAAAATTATTTAAGAGTTCCCAAATTTTAAGCACCGGATTGTATACAAAGAGAACAACGGAGGAAGTCTTACCTACAGAAAAAATTGACAATATTGGTGTGAAATATAAAGAGGAATTCATTATTAACATTCCGAATGCAACTACGATGGATAATAATCAAACTCCAGGTAAATCATCAAAAAAGCAATTTTAAAAACCTCTGAAAAACTGAAATTATGAATACCTGTGCTTTATTTACATTTAAGTGGTAAATATTTCTGTTTAAAAAGGATATTTATGATAACCAATAGAAAATATTAGTGATTATAAATATCGTCTGCTTCCCTCTCGACGATTTTGTTTCAGATTCACGTCATATTAAAATAAACGAAACTTTGGATATTTTAAGAGGAGGAAAAACAATTAATATCATAAAGAAAACTACAGCGTTTATTAAAAAGTAAGTAAAAAAAATAGGAAGATATAATCCAAAGCAAATTCTGGGTAGAACAATTATTTTCAATTGGTAGAAAATGAAAACAATCATAAAAATAGTTTCTGGTTTAATAAACAAGTACCCGGAGGTTTGTTTTTTTTTTTTTGGTAAATCGTGTATTTTGGAAATTACATTTAGATACAAATTACTGAGTAATGAAATATGCATAATATTTTTCGATCTTACCGACGTAATGATAAGAAAATACGAACGAATATATATAAAGAACTTTAAAAAAAAGGGAAAAAAATAACAAAATAACAAATCAACAAAAAATTAAAAATGAAGAAAGCAATGATCTGGAATAGAAAAAAAAGTAAAAAAAATAAATGTGTAAATTGATCGTGACGCGAAGAACCACGGCCGTCTGTTTTGGTGCCGCCCGATTACCGACCGAGCTATTATGACATTTTCTCTTGAGGCGAAATTCCGACATATTCGAATTATATTTTTCATTCCCTGAAAACAGGGATAAAAGGACATTTTCTAAAAATGAAACCTAGCTAGATCGATTTTTCGCCCCCGAATCTATGCACATACTAAATTTCATGAAAATTATATATATATATATATATATATACAAGAATTGCTCGTTTAAAGGATAAGAATTGGTAAGATTCAGAAATATTGCTTGCAAAACGTGGAATTAAACGTGGACGTTTTAACTTTTGATAATTACTCGATAGTAGGTATGTGTTTTTTGTCAGCGTTTACAAAACCATTCTATATCTCAGTTTATATTCACAATTAGGTTTGTAAATGGATTCTGGTACTACAATAGGTAATATACGATAGTTCAATCGTAAATATGCCGCTTATGTTGTGGTCCGGTACTTATTCACTTTTATACAGGGAGGCTTTTCTAAGTGTATCCATTTTTTTAATTAAATTTTAGACATACATATTGTTACTTATATTAAAAATGATAAATATTTTAAATCACTCGTAAGTATTTAATTACATTCACTTGAACTTATCTCAAAAAGTGCGTGATTTATACACAACTCATTTATTTTACGCGCGATCATTCATACACACACTCAATAAATGATTATACTCCCGAGTCTGAACTTTGTGTAAATTTGGGCACTTTTTGTAAATTCTCCCTGTATATTCAATGGGTTTTTACACCTATTAAATGAAACTTACCTTCATTGCTTAAATCTAAACAACAGATGACTTTCAACTTGATAATTTTTTCTAATTATTAGCGTACCCTAGTATTGGACGTACGACTACCCTAGAATTTCTACTGTAATTTTATTCGGGCGATTAAAGCTAAGCTTTTATGCGGACTCTCAAAAGGAGTCATGAATCCTAATCATAAGTATTAACGTGTTCACTAAAATTGATTCATACAGTTCAAATATGGTAACTGGTTCCATGGTTAACCACGAATCTTGGGAAAATGTGGTACAAGCTGCACCGGTGATGGCTGTTCTTTTAAACCAAACTTTACCCGTAATACTTCAAAAGACTGTTGATAGTCAGAATAGTACTTTAAAAACAAAACCCTCTGAAAAATACAAGTGAGTATTAGATTAGATAATACTTTTCTAAAGGGAAAGGTTAACAAATTTCACAAATATATAAAGCGTGTCGTTACCATCGCGACAATGAATGAACACACGTCTAACGCTACTTACCAATAATAAAAAAAAATATTAACGTTAAACAAAATCCATAATTAAAAAAAATATTTTTGAAACAAACTAATTAAGTAAAAAAGAAACAAAATTTGTAACACCCATACAACTCGCGCCACAGCGTCGCATTACAAGCCTCTCCTTCTAACAGTATGTTTTGTCTCTTTTAAATTCATTCAACCCATCCATATGCTTTGTGACCTTTACAAATGAACTTTACGTTACAGTTTTATACGGAAGGGTGTTCTAAAATTCCTTGTTTTGGAAAATTTAATAACTCGGTAAATGTTGATGTTTAAAGAATGTAAACGTTTAATACAATTTTTAAAAGTTATCCTCTATATGTGTGTTCATTTATTGTCGCGATGGTAACGACACGCTGTATATTATTCGTATATTATTTAAATAAGTATAATGTTCGTCATTCAATGCTGTACTGTAGTATTTTTATGCTTTATAATAAGAAATAACTTTCATTAGTTGCTGCGTGATATAGACTGAAAATTTGTTCACGAATTTAAAATAAAAATATGGAGTATTTTTATAGAGTTTTACGAAAGAAACGATACATACAACCTTTAGAAATTAAAAACGCTGTACCTCGCCTTTTGACTTCTCCTAAAGACTCATATACCAGTTATAATAAAAATGTCGAAACATTTGAAAATGTACAGGATATATCTCATTTGGTAGAATTAAAGGATGATGAGGTAAGGGACCATTAAAACGTTTTAAAAAATAATTGAAAGAATTCTTATTATGTAACCTTTTTCCTAGATCAATTACCTTTACCTAATATCATTTAACATTAAACGAATTATATTTATTAATGTTTTAGATGTTTGAACATCATTTGTCATTGAATTTTTTTAATTGAGACAGCTAAAAAATATATATTTTAGTTGTCTTATAGTAGTATATAGTATAATTTTAATTTAAATGGGTACCTACTACATTTCTGTTTCTGTTGGATATTAAGGTTCAAGGCCGTATTGCTCTTCGATACATGCGAAATTACGTCGGTTCAGTATTATTCAACATTTGTGACTACAGGGAAACCAAAGCTCGCTATGTTTACCTTTTCAACACGTCTCGAATCGTTATAGCGATCAGCAACTTTACGGTTTGTCGATATTGTTAATAAAAGATTGATTGTTCAATAAAACATCTTTCGTACTTTATCTAAACGTTAACGTGGGGTTAAAATTATAGCTTTTAATAAAGCTGTTAAAATAGTCTGACAATATCCCATACCCGCATCGCATGCAGTCAGACGTTGCGGAGTTTCGTGGGGTAGTGGATTCCTTACAGATCCTTTTGGATTAGGGATCATCGAATCAGTTCTTATCATCTGTATAATTGGGCTGAAACGTTACAACTAAAAGGTTTATAAAATTTGTAGCAGATTATGAATAAAAGTACTAAAAAAACTAAAGTAAACTAGTAGTAAAATAATAAAAGTAGTTACAGTTAGAAAATAATAAATAGAAGGAAGACACTGTTAAAATAACGGAACGAATAAATACTATTAAACTATTAACTACTAATAAACGAATGCCGAAGACGTGGGTTCGATTCCCACAGCGGCGACAATCTTTTCGCACTTTTTCTACATATTTTAACGAATAAATACTATCAGGTTCAATAATGTGACATACGAGCAACGTTTTATTTTAAGTTGTGATGGTAATACTTGGCATATTTCAAACGGTTAAAATCATAATTATTATAACAAATAAGTATTGTAAAATGTTTCAGCTCGAAAAAATGAGGTTAATTATGACACCGGCACGCATATTGAAAAATAAAGAGACAAACTGCCCACCAGCTCATCTAGAGTGTCAAATCTCTGGTGCACGGGTATGCATTGACTCTATGAGTGCTTGTGATGGAATTCCCAACTGCGGAGCATACGGTGAGATTAACTTATTACCTCCATATAAATAATTTAATAAAGAAGGGTAAATGTAAACGATATTGACGTTCCGAAAGATGTGACGAAAAATTACTAATGAATTAATCAATAAGTAGAATTCGCCGGTCTTCTTTCCCGGCGGCGGCTTTTTTACAGAATGTGCGAATATAGTTGGTTTTGTGCACCATAGTCGAACTTCAACATTTCTGTTGTTGTTTATTACCATGAATGGCGGTTCTTACTATCAGGTACAGCTTGCTCGTTTGCTGGCATATCTAATAGGAAAATGCTTAAGTAATGGTCACATTTAGGGTGTTTAGAAATTGATTACCTTATAATAAATTTGATAGTAATAAGTAAATAATTTTGGTTGATATATCTTTAATGTTTACTTTTCTAAGTTCTTTGTTATATTGCAGATATTTATGATGAAGACCGTCTTATGTGCGAGATGGGAGTTGGTTTTAAACACAACGTATACCTCGCTGCGACCACTTTTCTTGTTGTTCTGCTTATTGCACTTTACTCTGCACATTACTGGTTGAAACGCTGCGTGCCTGGAGTTTCTGAAGCCTTCTTCGTATACTCCGATAGATCTGAAAATATGTAAGTTCATTTGATTTTGTGTTATCGTTAAACATTAGACGTAAAAGTTTTTAATTCACCATGAATATCAAATTGATACAGTTGAGTTTGGTTATTTCCGGTTTGAAATGATTTAATTAATAAAGACTACGTTAATATTTCAATTCATTTTTATTTCACAGTTTAAACTTGGAAACAATAATGCAAAGTCCAAATGAAAACGATGATTCAAAAAATGAATACGGCGATCACTTCTTTTACGATGATAATTTAGATATAGATAACGAAGTGACAATCAAACATAACATTTTTAAAAAAATTTGGAAGCTTTGTGTCACTTGTTGCTTTAAAAAAAGAGAAAGGGGTAAAAGTGATCAACACTTTTCCGATCTGGATTCAAACAATCCTCCACCTAAGCGATTATTTTCTTTCACTGAATTGGAATTGAGTAAAATGGCACCAAAGAGTTTTATTGATGCAATCGTGCAAACCGGAGATAGTTTAGATAAAACCCAGTGGAAGAGTTTAAAAATAAAAGAAATTGAACAACGGCGCCCTCTACATATAGATGGGCGCCCAAATTTTAAAAAAGACAAACACGAACTTAATGTTTTAAAATTTTTAAAGGAATCTAGATCTAATTCAATACAGTCCGTTTCAACCTCAGGGAACAACACTAAACCCTTAGAAAAATTTAACAAAAACGTACAATCTGATTGGGGGCCAGATGACGAGAAAGAGTTATTGTGTACTATATATGAACCTCATGCTTCTGGTTCAGGGAAATATGATCGTTATGATAAACAGTCTAACAATGAATTGGTTTGTCCTGAAAAAACTGAACCAGCCGTTCGGAAACATCTTCGCTTTGATGAAGAGGCCACAACAATACCTTCTTTGCATTCAGACGATGAAGCCGTAGAAGGAGAAGAAAATTATGGCAGACCTGCTGTTGTTCTGGGCACTGAGAAATTGCGTTATTCAGGAACACAAGACAATACAGAAGAACATGCCAATAGTACTACCGGTAAGGAATTTATCCGTTTTTGGACGGGTACAAAAGGCAAAAAATCAAAGCATAAGAAGCATACTACATTACGTTAATTTCTTGTTACTTTTTATCCAAAATGTTTATTGATTTTTTAAAGTAAAGACCAACAAACGTTTTTTATATTGCTTTCTTTTTAATTTTAAGTTATCACTTTTTAATTTTACAACGGATTTTATAATCAGATTTATAGAAAGATTATAAAAAACGGAAACCAAAAATTTTTTTCAAAATTATCACATTGTTTAGTTTGAAAATACATATTTAACACGCCATCCCACATAGCTGAAGATGATCACAATGCCCATGCTCCGTACCGCCATTTCCTAATTAGCGTCAATTGAGCGCCGGATAGGACACGTGCCAAAATATGTCGTGTCTTTTTAAAGATGTTCGCTCATTGTGTACCGTTTCAATCGTGGTTTGGTAATTGCCTTTTGCATTTTCTGAGTTCAATGCAACGTTATGAATGTAGAATCTAAAGCTAACACTTAAAGTTAGTCGTTACTGTAAAAATAAATTAATAAGCTAAAAATGTTACTTATGTAATCACAAAAAATGAAAAGGTTTTGAAAAATAACGGGCCTACGCCTTTATGTAAGATAAAAAAGTATTCAAATCAAAATACAAAGAGATATATTAACTCACCAAATACTTGGAGTACATTATAATATATTGAAATGTACGTAATAATAATATAAATAAATATAATTTCCTTACCTTAATTTCTACAAACCAAAACTATTACGATTTGCAAAAAACTAAGTAAAATGGCAAAAAATGTTATCTGTTAATTGTAACCTTTTATTCTAGGCTTTAATTATAAACAGAATATATTAAATAAAATACACTGAGAATGCTATAACAAATTCTGAGTGCAGTACTGCAAAGAAATAAAGCATATGGAAAGGTCTATTTGTTGGAGGTTGTGTCTATTTATCTATCGAAGATTGTAAAATACTGAAAGTAAATAAGGGCTTATTAACTACGTCAGTCAATTTTAGCTATCTATGTTCAAAAGAGTATGAATTCATAAGTGTAAGTTCACACGTATAGCTAATATTATACGAATTATTATCAAGCAATAGGAATTATTATAAAGTACTTCCTTGGCAGATGCATCTTTATGTATCTGTGGGCAGTTTTATTGGGGTCAATGATATATATCATAACTAGCGCTTTTATGTCAACTCCGAAAAAGATAGATGTAAAAGTGTCAGGCTAGAAGCGGGAGCCGGTGCGCGAGGTCATTTCAATTGAAGTCAATTAAAGCAATTGAGCCCAATTGAGCGGGCGGCAGATTCTGCGTCGAGCTGCCGTCGCCAGAGAGATTTTATGTGAAGCGCCTACGCGTGTAGTCACATGATTCACCAGTATACCTAACTCTGCTACGAGATTTTGAAATTTTCATATCTACGTTGCTTATATACTTACGCAAGCTCCTTGCATCAGCAACAATATTTTACCCGTAAAGGGACTCAGTCTTTTGTCAAACTCCATCAAATAACTCACTTTGTAGGTATATAATAGAGACATCTATATAACATTACAGTGTCTTAATTTATCAGTCATTTTACTTTGCTTCCATTTCTTGGACTGGAGAGATACAAAAATAAAATGATTTGAAGTAATTTTATTCTTTGTTACATACAAGAAAATTTCAGACGTTCAACATTTTAACGTTTAAAATTACCCCGCGGGACAGGGTACTTTTGAATATTGAAAACTATAAAATCTAATAATATACCTCTAATGTGTTTTGTAAAGGAAATAGAAGCTAATCCATACTAATATTATAAATGCGAAAGTAACTGTCTGTCTGTCTCGATTTCACGCCAAAACTACTGAACCGATTTAAATGAATTTCGTACACAGATAGTCTAGAGCCTGAGAAAGGACATAGGGTATTTTTTTATTGGATTTTTTTTAAAGTAAGATATTTACTTAAGGGCGAGCAAAGCCGCGGGTAATGCTGGTTCATAATGAAAGTGCATTTATATTGCTGAACGTTGTTTAAATTAAAATTAGTGAGTAAATTATTTACTTTCTGGCAATAACAACATTTCATTCGATACACTCTGTATTCTTTATCCTTTAAACGAGCAATTCTTGTATGTATATATAATCGGAATCTCGGAAACGGCTCCAGCGATTTTCATGAAATTTAGTATGTGCATAGATTCGGGGGCGAAAATTCGATCTAGCTAGGTTTCATTTTTAGAAAATGTCCTTTTATCCCTGTTTTCAGGGAATGAAAAATATAATTCGAATATGACGGTAAATTTCGCTGCAAGAGAAAATGTCATAATAGCTCGGTCGGTAATCGGGCGGCCCCAAAACAGACGGCCGTGGTTCGAGTCACGATCATTTACACATTTTTTTTTTACTTTTTTTTCGATTTTCTTTATTTTTAATTTTTTGTCGATTTGTTATTTTGTTATTTTTTTCCCTTTTTTTTTTAAAGTTCTTTCTTTTGGGAAAAACATCAGTTCATATTTTCTTATTATTACGTCGGTAAGATCGAAAAATATTATGCATATTTCATTACTCAGTAATTTGTATCTAAATGTAATTTCCAAAATACACGATTTACCTCCTCGGTCCTCCGGGTACTTTTATTTATCCGTAATGACATATAAAATTTAAAATGTAGCTGCTAAAATTCCAAATATATATTTTTTTTAATTTTGGATTTACCCACCTTTTGTAATCTATATCAACCATTGGACATAATATGTAGCGATGTGCACTTTTATATTCGTCTTCTATGTTCTTCTACTCAGAAATATTTGTATAATAAAGAGAAACTAGTTATCCATTTTCCCATTTTATATGTTACACCTCAATATGAATATTTTATTACAAAGAGTTTGACGTAGGTCCTCTTAAATTTAGGTATCATGTAAATATCATTAAGATTAAACTGGATTTGAAAATGAATGACAAAAAGGTTTTCAAGCTTCATTACTTTTTATTCTTGGTCACAAAGCCAATGTTCACAAACCAAACACTAGTATTTCTGTTGTTCATATTGAACTATTTATTGGTCTTTGGATACGATTCTTTCTCATTTACATCCTATGTCTATACATAAAATCACACTTAGTTATCGATTGGTAACCTAAAAGATGGCCTTGATCTATTCGATTATAATAAAATCTGTACTCTGTACGTAATGATTGCTTTGAACAGTTTAAAATTGTAATGTTAAACTTTTGAAATGCATCACGATCTGACACGTACATAAGTAAATGAAATTACAAAAGCTCTGGCAAATCATATCATCTATACAGATAAATAAAATGAGTGAGAGTGTCTGTTTGTAATATTAACTGCATTTTACTAAATGCATATGGATGTATACAGGGTACATATATACCAAAATACTTCTTTTTATTTACATTTTTTCTCTATCCGTCTGTTTGCTTGTTCCGGTAATCTCTGTAACGGCTGGACCGATTTTGACGGGACTTTCACTAGCAGATTTATATTTTAGAAATATAATTTATTTTTAATTCCACGCGGACGAAGTCGCGGGCACGGTAAGTGTTGAATAAAGAATGTGATCAGTTCATTTTGACAGCAATAAAATCATTTCTGTTGTATGGGAGCCCCACATAAATATTTTTTATACTGTTTTTTAGTATTTGTTGTTGTAGCGGCAACAGAAATACTTAATCTGTGAAAATTTCAACTGTCTAAGTATCACGGTTCATGAGATACAGCCTGTTTACAGACGGACAGACGGACCGATAGACAGACAGACAGCGGGGTCTTAGTAATAGGGTCCTGTTGTACCCCTTGGGTACGGAACCCTAAAAAATTAATTGCATTTTTCCTTTAAGTATATAACACCTGTTGTTCCCAAATTAATATATATCTTTCAAAGCTTACTTTTTGATATATAAATAAGTAAGGAGAAATTAATTTTATATACTTAAGTAAATAACAGAAATATTGGATAGAATTTACAC